TTTCGTCGGCATCGAGTTTCATGAAATCCGACTTTCGGCAAGTTTTTTCGGCAAAATTTCGCCTCGCGGTTCGTGATTGGACTCGTGATTTGGCGACCATCCGGTACCCGTCCGCCCATCACCGCACACACAAAACCAGTCTCCCACACCATTCACACTCAGTGTGCCATTGTTTACCAGCATGTGACCATTACCCCGCGGGTTCATACAATACATTTCGTAATACAGTGGACCCCCGCATACCTCACGCATCACATAACGTACAATCCGCATACCGCTCGTTTTTTTCGCAAAAATTTTCCCTCGCATACCACCCAAAAACCCGCTCACCGCTCTTCGTCCGAGACGCGTCCAATGTGCGGCCTGAGCCACGCTCACATGTTCCGCCGGTGGCATTGTTTACCAGCCAGCCTCCGCGGTAACATCCAAGCATACAATCGGAACATTTCGTATTATTACAGTGTTTTTGGTGATTTTTTCTGGAAAATAAGTGACCATGGGCCCCAAGAAAGCTTCTAGTGCCAACCCTACAGCAATAAGGGTGAGAATTACTATAGAGATGAAGAAAAAGATCATTGATAAGTATGAAAGTGGAGTGCGTGTCTCCGAGCTGGCCAGGTTGTATAATAAACCCCAATCAACCATTGCTACTATTGGTGGTACAGCTGCTGCTGCACTGTCAGCTGCTGCTGCTGTTGTACCACTGTCAGCTGCTGCTGCTGCTGTAGTACCGTCTGCTGCTGCTGTAGCATCGTCTGCTGCTGCTGTAGCATCATCTGTTGCTGCTGTAGCATCGTCTGCTGCTGCTGTAGCATCGTCTGCTGCTGCTGTAGCATCATCTGTTGCTGTTGTAGCATCGTCTGCTGCTGCTGTAGCATCGTCTGCTGCTGCTGTAGCATCGTCTGTTGCTGCTGTAACATCGTCTGCTGCTGCTGTAGCATCATCTGTTGCTGCTGTAGCATCGTCTGTTGCTGCTGTACCACCGTCAGCTGCTGCTGCTGCTGTAGCACCGTTGTTGGTGTGGCTTATTGAGAATACCAAGAAACAATTAACCCCAGAGGATTTGCCACCCAGGATAACCCAAAAAAGTCAATGTCATCGAAGACTGTCTAACTTATTTCCATTGGGGTCCTTAATCTTGTCTCCCAGGATGCAACCCACACCAGTCGACTAACACCCAGGTGAACAGGGAAAAATGCCTGGAACTAGTGCTCATATTGGTGAATTTAAAGCCAGCAAAGGTTGGTTTGAGAGATTTAAGAATCGTAGTGGCATACACAGTGTGATAAGGCCTGTTCTGGAAGAAAATGCCAAACAGGACCTACAGTACTCAGGAGGAAAAGGCACTCCCAGGACACAGTGTCTCATCAGTCATTGCTGCATCTTCAATAAAGGTAAGTGTCATTTATTCTTCATTTAGTAGAGTAGTACATGCACAATATATATTGTGCATGTACTACTCTACTATTGTGCATGTATCCTTCTCTTTGTGTGTAGGAAAATGTATATTTCATGTGGTAAAAATTTTTTTTTCATACTTTTGGGTGTCTTGCACGGATTAATTTGATTTCCATTATTTCTTATGGGGAAAATTCATTCGCATACCGAACATTTCGCATAACAACCAGCCCTCTTGCACGGATTAAAGTCGCTATGCGGGGGTCCACTGTAATCCATTGTTTTTTGTGATTGCAACTGCTAAATAAGTCACCGTGGGCCCAAGGAAAACAAGCCCTTTGGTAAAGAAAGTGAGGAACACAATCAAATTCAAGAAGGAAATCATTGAACTCTGAACTTTGAACTCTGCTTGGAGAAAATTGTGGCTAGAATGTGTACAAGAGAGGGATTTTGAAGGGTTTTTGGGGCTGACCCTAAGGAGCCTATGCCAGTTGTGGAATCTATTGTGGTATTGGGGATGTCCCTGGGGTTGGAGGTGAGTGGTGAGGATGTGGAAGAGTTGGTGGAGGACCACAGGAAAGAGCTAACCACTGCAGAGCTGCAAGAGCTTCATCTGCAACAGCAAGAGATCACAGCTCAGGAAACTGCTGCAGAGAAGGAGGAAGAGAGATGGAGGAAGGTGCCTTCTTCAAAGATTAAGGACATTTGTGCAAAGTGGACTGAAGTGCAAACATTTATGGATGAACTTCACCCTAACAAAGCTGTTGCAGGCCGTATTGGCAACATGTACAATGACAGTGTTGTGTCCCACTTCAGACAAATCTTAAAAAAATGCCAGAAACAGAGCTCTCTGGACAGATATTTTGTGCAACAGGGGTCCAGTGACTCTCAAGTTGTTCCCAGTGTCATTAAAAACAAAGAAGGGAAGTAACCCCAGATAAGGACTTCATACCTGAAGTCCTAATGGAAGGAGATTCTCCTTCCAAACAATAGTGTACACCTTCCTCCTATCCCCTGCTCCCGTCTTCCATCCACCCAGAAGTCTTCAGTAAAGGTAAGTGTAATGTTATTATTATTTTTTATATGTATGTACTTGATTTCTCATTGTTTTCAGTATGTAAATCTTTATTTAATTTGAAAAAATGTTTTATTTTAATATTTTTGGGTGTCAGGAACGGATTAATTTTATTTCCATTATTTCTTATGGGGAAAATGGTTTCGCCATTCAGCAATTTCGACATTCGGCAGGCTCTCTGGAATGGATTAATCACGAAACTTGGGTCCACTGTACTCAGATATGGAAAATTTGAAGAAATTAAAATGTGTCAGGGTATACCACAAATTCTAACCATACAATAGAGCAGAAAAGTAATGTGAAGGACCTGAGAGTGATAATGTCAGAGGATCTCGCCTTCAAAGACCACAACAATGTATCTACCTCATCCACTAGGAAAATGACAGGATGGATAATGAGAACCTTCAAAACTAGGGATGCCAAGCCCATGATGATTCTCTTCAAATCGCTTCTGCTCTCTAGGCTGGAATACTGCTGTACACTAACGGCCCCCTTTCAAGGCTGGCAACATTGCAGACCTGGAGAGTGTACAAAGAACTTTCACGGCACACATAAGTGCGATAAGACACCTAAACTACTGGGAATGGTTGAAGGTCCTTGATCTGTATTCCCTCGAACGCAGGCAAGAGAGATGCATGATGATATACACTTGAAGGTCCTGGAGGGATTGGTACCAAATCTGCACACGAAAATCACTCCATATGAATGCAAAAGACTCAGTAGGAGATGCAACATTCCCCCGATGAAAAGCAGGGGCACCATGAGTACACTGAGAGACAACACAGTAAGTGTCTGAGGCCCAAGACTATTCAATTGCATCCCACCATACATAAGGGGGACTACCAATAGACCCTTGGCTGTCTTCATGAAGGCACTGGACAGGCACCTAAAGTCAGTACCTGACCAACTGGGTTGTGGTTCATACATCAGCTTGCATGCAGTCAGCAGTAACAGCCTTGTTGATCAGACCCTGATGGACCATGAGGCCTGGTCTCAGACCAGGCCACGGGGGCATTGACCCCTGAAACCCTCTCCAGGTATCTACCCAATACCTCCAGCTCCCCATCTACGAACTCCCCTACTCTGTTTTTAACTGACAAATTCATTCATTCCCCAGATTTTCTTAAATTGTTTATCTCCAAAAATTTTTCTTATTTTCAGCAAAATTACTTGACAGTGCCTCTCTCACTCTTTCATCTGCTCTCCTTTTGCACTCTCTTCACCTTTCTTTTACTCACCATATACTACTCTGCTCTTCTAACAACACCTCTGATTTGTAAAAACCTCTTGTAAGCTACCTTTTTCTCTTTTATCACACCCTTTACTTCATCATTCCACCAGTCACTCCTCTTTCCTTCTGCATCCACCCTCCTATAGCCACAAACTTCTGCCCCACATTCTGATATTGCATTTTTAAAACTATCCCATCCCTCGTCAACCTCCCTACTACTCATACTTGCATTAGCTCACCTGTATACCAATAGTTGCTTATATCTCACTCAAACTTCATCCTCCCTTAGTTTATACACTTTCACCTCTCTCTTACTTGCTGTTGCCATTTTCCTTATGTCCCATCTACCTTTTACTCTAATTGTAGCTACAATTAAATAATGATTCGATATATCTATTGCTCCTCTATAAACATGTACATTCTGAAGCCTACCCATCAACCTTTTATCCACCAATACATAATCTGACAAACTACTTTCATTATGTGGTATATCATACCTTATATACTTACTTATCCTCTTTTTCATAAAATATGTATTACTTATTGCCAAACCTCTTTCTACACATAGCTCAGTTCAAGGCTCCCCATTTTCATTTACCCCTGGTACCCCAAATTTACCCACTACTCCCTCCACAACATTTTTACCCACTTCAGCATTGAGATCCCCAACCACAAGTACTCTCACTTGGTTCAAAACTCCCCATGCACTCACTCAGCATTTCCTAGACCTCCCTCTCTCCTCTCTCTCTCTCTGGGTTATAGTATATGCATAAACACTTAATATAACCCACCTTTCACATCCAACCCTTATTTTACACCACATAATCCTTGCATTTATATATTTATATTCCCTCTTTTCCTTCCATAACTTATCCTTCAACATTATTGCTACTCCTCCTTTAGCTCTAACTCTATTTGAAACCCCTGACCTAATCCCATTTATTTCTCCCCACTGAAACTCTCCTACCCCCTTCAGCTTTGTTTCACTTAAAGCCAGGACATCCAGATTCTCATTCATAACATCCACAATCATCTCTTTCTTATCATTCACACAACATCCATGCACATTCAAACATCCCACTTTGACAGTTTTCTTCTTTTTCTTTTTAGTAAGCTATGCGGGAAAAGGGGTTACTAGCCCATTGTTCCTGGCATTTTAGTTGACTTTTACAACACATAAGGCTTGGAGAAAAAATTCTTAGTCCACTTCCCCATGGATATATTGTACAAAATAGACAAAAACATCTTACTCTTTCATTACTTTTATAATGTATTGACTTTCTCCACTTCCCACAGGATATGGACATGGTTATTCAGCTGCTCCTGAAGTTGTACAGACCATAGAGTATATGCCAGAGGCACTAAGAAATGTTAATTTTTTTAATAGGTAAAATTTACTTACCTCAGTATTTGTTGATGCTTTATACAGCCTTGGGTAAAAGTCTACTCATTAAATAACAGTTATGTCGACTAATACAAGTCAAGAAATAGTGCAAGTTCATTTCTACAGTGTGTAAGTACAGTACCTATAGACTTCGTAAGTTTTGAAGTTTAGCCCTTGATCTAGCCTTTCATTGTTAGCTGAGGTGATAGGTTGCCAGCACATCTGTTTTTGAAATATCTGATTCTCAACTATGTTGTTTCCCAGTATACTGTATTCTGTTACCATATTTATACAGTGAAAATTCTCATTAACAGACTACTAGGGAGGAGAGGGTGTATGATAATGCCGATTTTCCGCAACTCTTGAATTCTGAAATTGATATATCATGATCATCCGGTTGTCTTTTGAAGTAGTGATGCAGAAGACAGCCAGATACTAAGAATACAAGTATTGTTGCCTGTACTAATGTTATAGTACTTTATGTAATTTACAGTAATTTTACTTAACTTTTGTGGTGGAGAGATGAGGTATAAACTACTGTGATCAATATTGGTGATTTAAGTAACTTATATTCTGAGTCAGAGGAGCTATGAAGATCCTCTTCATTTGTTCGTACTGAACAAATGTTGGAGTTAGTGAACTTGGCCCATTACTATAGAAGACAACTGGACACTATCGCTACAGACAAAATACAGAATTTCAGACTTTTGTCTATTTTGTCTTGACAGTTAGAATGTTTATCCAGCCAATTTTTTGGTCCAAAATTGCTGAAATCAATTATTGAGAGGTATTACTGTATTTTTGGTTTCTATCTGTGTTACAGTTCATCTCATTATAAAAATTTTGTGCTTTATTCACCATTCCTTTTTCTTTGGTGTATTGTGCTTGAAATGTGATGATAATATTTCTTGTTTTCCAGTTTTCCCAGCATCATGAGGTTCATTTCTTGCAGTCTTTCTTATAGCTTCTGTGTGTCTGTTTCAGTTTGGTGGCAAATTTCCCTTTTTTTTTTATAAGGAGTTCATTCTAGTTATGGTAATTTATCAACATTTCCAACCAAATTTTTACTTTTATATAAATAGCTTAGCATAATTACAACAAAGCAAAACCACAGTTTTAGCAATTGTTTTGGAGTGTGTGATTTTTTTATAGTCAAATTCATAGTTAAATATCTACATCTTCCATTTTTTACACACACAATGAATTCAATTACAGCCAAACCCTTAATATTATGGTACAATATAAATATATTCACTGTATGGCTAAGCTTTCATATCTGAGCGCCTCTGTAAAGACAGTGGTTATGTATGAGCGATGATGAAAGTGTTGAATGATGAAAGTTTTTTCTTTCTTTTTGGGTCACCCTGCCTCTGTGGGAAACAGCCAATGTGTTAAAAAAATGGCTAATAGCAACTGAAGACATATACGTCTACAGTTTATACAGGTGGGCAAAGTATCAGTGTGGTTGTTCTTCCTTAACTTAAACCTTATCCAGAGGCTGGCAAATTTTACCCCCTTGCCTTTCCCAGTAGATTCCCATACTACCATACTACTTTGGCATATGCTATCAGTGTTATTCATTTAGTTGGTTTGGAGCTAGTGTAAACTTTATTCCCTTTGGGTAAATATTTTTAGTGTATATTTTTATACATTATTAACCTGTACAGATATTGTGACATAAATGTTAATGCATAAAGTACTTAACCCTTTCAGGGTCCGTGCCATAGATCTACGGCTATACGTTGAGGATCCAAACCGTAGATCTACGCCATGAGCTCAGCTCACTCTGATAAGCTGTGAGCGGTAAATTTGGGCCTAGATATGAGAAAATACATCTATGTGGTATGTGTGCACCACATAAAACAAATCCTGCAGCACACAGTGCATAATGAGAGAAAAAACTGAGACCGTAATTTTCAACTAAAATAACAAATTTGCAGTGTTTTTTGGTATGTTTTTTTATAGTTGTATTTGCGATTTCTTAGTCTTATTTGATAGAATGGAAGATATATTACAGAGGTAGAGAAGATTTTGATTGGTTTTAGTAATGAAAATTGCTTGAAACTGAGCTCAAAGTAGCAGAAATGTTCAGTTTTTGCCGATGTTCAAAAGTAAACAAATGACCTCACACATCTAATACACGCCAGGTGGTGGGTCTAATATATGTTCACAAATGTGGTGATATTATTTATACAATTATTACAGTATTGCATAACAGTAAATCTTCTATTTTTTGGTTTAAATAAAAATTCATTATGTGAATAAAAAATCAAAATGAAATTCATTTTTAAAGCCTGAAAACGTAACTAATAAACAGAGGAAATGTTAGTTTAGTGCCAGGAATGTTTTGAAATTAGAATATTTTGAACTTTGCATTAAATTGGCCAAGTTACCAATTTCCGATCACTTTATTTTGTAGTTGAAACAGTTGACTTGGTGATTTCTTGTGCTCAATCGATAGAATAGTAGTAATACTAGTGAAATAGCTAAGAATTTGGTCGACTGGAATAATGTAATTGGCTTAAAATGGGAGTCAAATTTGGCAAAATTGCCGATGCATAAATATTGCTGACATGCTCTCACAAAGAGAGCATAATTTCTCAAATTTTCCATCAAATTTTGTACTTTTTGTTTTATTACCTTCAGAAAAAGAATCTCTACCATTTCATAAGAAAAAATAACAAAATTACTTTTTGAAAATTCTTGGACCCTGGTGTGCACTTTGAAATTTGACCTCTGGACCCTGAAAGGATTAAACAAATGCTTAACATGAATATCTATGGTATTACCTTTTCCTTGTGAGAAAAATGTGGTATTTTTGTATTATTCTATTGTCTTTCTTTTATAAATAAAGTATTGAAACAATATTTTATTTCTTTCCCATTTTATCAGTCATGATCAGGTCAAAGTATTAATAATAAATTACAATATTACTTAATGATCTACCTTACAAGAAACTACAAAGGCAACCATCATGGCCATAGTGTAAAAATTTAAATAATCTTTTTTATATATACAGTGGTCTCTTGAATTATGATTGGCTTGAGTTAAAATAATTTTGCGTTCGATTTACTCTCATAAACAAATTTAGTTTTAAGTTGCAATAAAAAATTTGATGAGATACACCATGATGGTTGTTGCACGAGGGTGGGCCTCAGCCCAGAGACAAGACAGGCTGATGAAAAGGTCTTAAATGGAGTGATAGTGTTGGAGGTGAGTGTGAAGGAGAGGGGATGAGAGGAGGAGGATAGAATCGAGGAATGCAGGAAGGGGAGGGAAGAAGACAGTATGTGTACCAGACATAACGTGGGTGGTAGTTGACTGTGACAAGTGTAAATATTAACCCTTTGACTGTTTCAGGCCCCTCTCTGAAACTCATTCTATGTCGCCAAATATTCAAAAAAAAAATGAATTATTTTTTCTTATGAAAATGTTAAGATTATTTTTCTGAGTGTTTTAGTCCAAAAAAAAAATTTTTGCCATCGGTACTTACCGAGATATAGAGCCGTGAAGTTTGCAGAAAATGAGCCGCGTATGGCAACAGCGGCGACTGCCGCTCACCCGGTAAACTTTAGTTTACTTGTAATTGAAGGTTTTTTGTTTTTTTCACTATTTTATTTTTTCACATAACTTATGTGGCCTATGAGACCAAAGTAAGGTGCAATGTATATATATACACTCGTTGTATACAACACAATAAGCACACAAACATAATTATCAATATATTGTTTACAAAACTTGTTTACAAAAACAAACAAACAATCATCTCCTCCTCCTCCTCCTCCTCCTCCTCCCTTTCTCCCCTCCTTCTCCTCCTCCTTCTTCTCTCTCCTTTCTTCTCCTCCTCCTCCTCCTCCTCCTCTTCTCCTCTCTCCTCCTCCTCCTCCTCCTCCTCCTCCTCCTCTCCTCCTCCTTCTCCTTCTCCTTCTCCTCCTCTCCCTCCTTCCTCCTCCTCCTCCTCCTCCTCCTTCTCCTCTCTTCTCCTCCTCCTCCTCTCCTCCTCCTCCTCCTCCTCCTCCTTGTCTTGTGTGCGAGTGTGTGGCTTATAATTGTTTTGAGTCAGAAGTCGGCAGCTGTCAAAGTGACATATTGTCTCATTAGTCACTCCCCCTACCGCCTGTCAAAACAATGGGGTCGGATGCTGCTTCCCATCCTCCATTCTATCTAATTATCTTTCTCCCTCATTCTATATCTTTCAATCTGTCTCTCTTTCTATCTGTCTGCCTATCTCTGTCTCACAGGTACACATAAATACAAGTATACATAGTGTAAATTACCTAGGATAACCCAAGAAATCCAGACAAAGTGCTATACTCTGCTTGAAGATGTGAGTAAACGTGATGACACAGTCTTGTGGCTCTCTCTGAGACAGAGAGCTAGATGGACAGACAGGGAGCTTGACAGACAGACAAATGTTTGTGTACCAGCAAAAACAAAGGGAGGGCGATGGTCATGTAATATTACCCTCCTTTACACTCATCAAAGTCAGCTCTTATCAGATGTTATCTCCCCTTATCTTGTCACTGTCATGGGGTGGACTTTTTTTTTTCTTGCTTCAAGGGAACAATATTATTACATCTTCTTCTTCCTCCTCCTCCTCCTCCTCCTCTTCTCCTCCTCCTCCTCCTCTTCTTCCTTCCCTCCTCCTCCTCCTCCTCCTTCTCCTCCTCTTCCTCCCCTCCTCCTCCTCCATTGCTTTTGGTCTCAAACTCCTCCAAATCATGAAATTGATCTTCACTGACACTTCCATCTGTGTTAGAGCATCACTTGGGAAGAGAAGAGTCCCAGATTTGCTGGGGAATCACATATTTCTTACCACTAGACATGCTGAAAAAGGACAACTGAAATGGCATTCCCACAATGCACCACTGGCTCCCCGATTTTTTTTATATGGTGCACACTGACCATGGAGACCCATTCTCTCACATGTGGGCCTACCAGCTTTCTCCTGCTTGATTTGAAGCTGCTAGAATTTATGCGTATAAATACGTCAGAAACATTGGCTCGTAAGACGTATACGTCGGAAACAGTCAAAGGGTTAAGTCTACAATTCTTTACCAATCTGTCTGCCTGACTGCCTTCCTTCTGCCTGCCTGCTCTGGCCTGTCCTGCCCTGCCTGCTCTGGCTTGTCCTGCCCTACTTGCTCTGGCCTGTCCTGCCTGACTGCAATGCTTGCTTGCTCTATCCTGCCTTGCCTGCTCTGGTCTACCCGCTCTGCCTGCTCTGGTCTACCTGCCCTGCCTGCTCTGGTCTACCTGCCCTGTCTGTTCTGGTCTACCTGCCCTGCCTGCTCTGGTCTACCTGCCCTACCTGCTCTGGTCTACCTGCCCAGCCTACTCTGTAATGTCCTGCCCTACCTGTTCTACCTTGCTCTGCCTGCCCCAGCCTGCCCTGCCTGCAATACTTGCTTGCTTTGTCCTGCCTACAAGGCTTGCTTTACATGCCCCTGTCTGCCTTCCTGTTTGCCCTGGCCTTCCCTGCCTGCTCTTCCTTGCCCTACTTGTCCTGCCAGCTCCTGCCTATCTCCTCTTCCCTAGCCTGCCCTGCCTTCTATGCCCTGTCCTGCCTCATATGCCAGTGCCACTGGAGATTTCAAGCTGAAGACTGTGTTTGTTTCCCACTCAAAAAACTCTCAGATGTTTAAACAAAAAGTATACAAGGGCAGGATGGGTGTTCTTGCATCTTGGAAGAGATTACTATAAATCCATGTATTTTGGGGTTTGAGTTACTGGGGTCAATATGCTCAGGCAAGCCCATTCAAACCCGTGCACAGAAGCCCTCCAAACTTTAGTCAGCACTGGTGAATGCCCCTCCAGATGGATTGAAAAAATGAACTGACCTTTGCGTGACCCAGATACATGATCTGTGTCAAGTAAGGCAACAGTGGCACTTCTCCACTCCATGGAATATTACCCCATTCCAAACTACCATCCTTCCATTTCCCCCCAAAATACTTCTTAAATAACAACCAGAGCTTCACCTTGAAGCTAGCATCCTTCCATTTCCCCCAAAAATACTATTTAAATAACAACCAGAGCTTCACCTTGAAGCTAGACAGGATGCCCTAAGCTGTATTGATAACTTAGTCACACAACACACTCTTTCACAAATTATTTATGCTGATGATTCTGTTCACCAATCCACTGGTGCAGCTGGTAGTGCTGCTGTTGTCATACAGAGTGGTGGTTCTCATAAAGAAATTGGAGCATGCATCAGTAATCCACTACCCTTCAGGCAGAACTGTTTGCCATACTCCTTGCACTCAAATGTGTCCATGTATCTACGGTTGACACTTTAATTGTAACTGATTATCTATCTCCATAAATGCTCTCAACTCATTAAGTATAAATTGTGGCATGCTTGTGTCAGAAGCCAGACACAGGTATGGTAGGATTGTGGACAGTGGAGTCAGAGTGCACATGCTGTGGATTCCATCTCACATTGGTCTTCAGATGCATGACAGAACTGATAAATTGGCTAAGTTATATACTTTCCAAGAAGGGGTAGATTACAATCTTGGCTTGTCAGTTAGCAGTTTGAGAAAAATAATATGAAAGGAACTTCAACTGAATTTTATTGACTTAAGACTCAGGGAGATTGACACCAGCCAGTCCATCTATCATCATTCTATCATGCAGGAGCCACATGTCTGGTGCATCCAACAAAATAAGCAGACTCTTAGATGTCACTACTGTCCGGCTTCGGCTGGGTTACAAGTATCTTTGGGAGGTTAAATCATCACTACCAGATGTAGACCAAACAAAATGTAAACTTTGCCAGATGGACTATTCCCACACCTTGCATCATTATGTACTGGAGTGCAATAAAATTAATGAATTCAGAGACAACTCACTCAGAAATGTCAAAGTATTTTTATCCACAGTGGTATATTACAAACCATTCTGGAAAAATACCCTGACTTTGCTCACTGTATATAAAGCAGACTATTCCACTTCCTGACAACTCTGTGACTGAAGAAATACTTCCTAACATCCCTGTGGTTCATCTGAGTCTTCAGCTTCCAACTGTGACCCCTTGTTGTTGTGTCCCATCTCTGGAACATCCTGTCTCTGTCCACCTTTTCAATTCCTCTTAGTATTTTATATGTTATCATATCCCCCTTAACTCTCCTGTCTTCCAGTGTCATCAAGTTGATTTCCCTTAACCTCTTCTCATAGGACATACCCCTTGGCTCTGGGACTAGTCTTGTTGCAAACCTTTGCACTTTCTTTAGTTTCCTTACATGCTTGGCTAGGTGAGGGTTCCAAACTGGTGCTGCATACTCCAATATGGGCCTAACATACACAGTGTACAGGGTCCTGAATGAGTCCTTATTTAGATGTCGGAATGCTGTTCTTAGGTTTTCCAGGTGCCCATATGCTGCAGCAGTTATTTGGATGATGTGTGCCTCAGGAGATGTGCCTGGTGTTATACTCACCCCAAGATCCTTTTCCTTGATTGAGGTTTGTAGGCTCTGGCCCCCTAGACTGTACTCTGTCTGTGGTCTTCTTTGCCCTTCCCCAATCTTCATGACTTTGCATTTGGTGGGGTTGAACTCCAGGAGCCAGTTGCTGGACCAGGCCTGCAGCCTGTCTAGATCCCTCTGTAGTTCTGCCTGGTCCTCATCCGACTGAATTCTTCTCATCAACTTCACATCATCCGCAAACAGGGACACTTCGGAGTCTATTCCTTCCATCATGTCATTCACAAATACCAAAAACAGCACCAGTCCTAGGACTGATCCCTGTGGCACCCCACTCGTTACAGGCGCCCAATCAGACACCTCGCCATGTACCATAACTTGCTGTTGTCTTCCTGACAGGTATTCCCTGAGCCATTGTAGTGCCTTCCCTGTTATCCCTGC